TCATAAGGCCTATCTGGAAGGGGATTATAGATCCTCAACGCTGTGAGGCCGGAGCCCAAGGGAGGCGCTTGGTGCAACGGAATGCAGCAGGACAGCTCCTGCGCCCACCTCGGGTCAGAGGCGATAAGTTGGGCCAGCGCTCTGTTCTTGTAGCATGCGGAGTTGCCGCAAGAGACGCACAGGATACGTCGGGAATGACCGACATTAAAGCTCCATCGCCACGACCAGCGACACAAAGACAGCGCGAGTAGTCGGGAAGCGGAACTATGCAGCACCAGGGCGATTCCAAAGCTGGGTCATCCCACTCTCCATGGGGTGCCACACCGCGGAGGACCGCGGCGACTTCCTGCCAGGTGTCGATTGCAGCCATGTAAGCTCTCGAAACACTTGGGATTGCTTCCCCCCTGAAGCCTTCCAGCCGTGCCTCGGGGCCCTTGGCAAAGAACGCAGGCTCTCGCCGCGTGGTGCGCCAATGCCTCCCAGGTCAGGACTGCACAGACGACACACCTCACCGCGGCTTCGCTGTGGCCTCCAAATACTGGATGGGAGAGGCCTCATCGGGAATCGACTCGTGCCAGCAAACCCGCGCACTACGGCACTCCTTTTTGCTTTTTCAAAGCTGGTAATGCTTGACAAACTCCTGCTCTAGCTCGTGCAGGTCATCAGCGCAAATGACCTGGGTGTTGCTGCACTGAGGTCAAAGACAAGCACACCACCACTGAACCGTCGCCTCCGTTGTGCCTTCAAGGCACCAGGGAGTGGAGCGGACCTCCAAACTCGGCCTCCGCAAGCTGCTCCACCGGCCCCGCTCGGATCACCTCTCAGGAGCTGAGGCTGCGCCCTGCAGTGCTACAGCGGTGCAGCTACGTGCAGCTCTACTTTGGCTTTCTCCAGGGCGGACGAAAATTTACGCAAATTATGAACAGCTTGATTTGGTGGTGCCGGTGGTGGTGATGGCACGGATCAAATTCACACGCACTTTCATGCAGGTGCAGTACTCACAGAGGCACTACTGCTGATGATGGTGGTGACGTTGCTGGCGCTGGCTGCAGTGATTGCGGTGATGCTTATCCTGGTTCCGATGCTGCTGCCTGTGGTTTTGGTGACACTTTTGCTAGTAGTCCACATCAGCATCAGAATCGTCTTCTCTCTCTGGTCTTGGCTACGAAATGCACTTCAAATTTCAGCATGATGGATGGCTATGCTTCTGCACGCGCGTGAACCTCACGGTGAAGCCCCAGACAACTGCACCGGCTGTTTGAGGCAAGAAGGCATCCAGCCCAGAGAAGGACCGGCGAATAATCCATTACGAGACTACAGCAGAGTGAACTACATTGACAATATGGTACAATGCAACAGACTTCGGTGGGGTCAGGAGGTTGCTTGACGGACCCTAGGGGAGGCTTGATCACCTCCTTCATCATCAACCTCATTATCATGTTGAAGGCTGGCGGTGGCCATCGTGATGGCTCCGACCATGGGAACAATGATGGCGACGACGATGATGACAATGCTGTAGCTGCTTGCTGCTTTCACTAATTACTCGTCTTAGTCTTCTGCCTCTTTGTCAACATGGTTTGAGTATACTGCTTATCATCATGCTTGTCCGTGCAGTGCTCAGCTGCTCCCTTGGATGTGATGCTGACCATTGACTCTGGATTCTACTGCCCAGGCGCACTACTCCGATCAATACCAAAGCAGTACTAGCACCAGCAGCAGATGGTGAACAAGTCGATCCTCAAACCCCTGAAATGAAGCGTAAATCATACCAAATCGCACCTGGTCCTCGCGCCCCAGGCGCGCTAATCCAAAGGCTATGCCGGCTGAGACGCCCTCAGCCTTGGCCTCAGGGTGCACAGGGTAAAGGGGCCTGCCTTTATTTCTGACTGGAGTTTGTAGCTCACTGAATAGAGAGTTGGGCGGCCTTTTCAACTTCCACAAGTTGCTCCAGCGCCTGACTCACCTGATGCAGGTTAGGGGCACTGTCGGTTTCTACTTCCTAGCCGCACGCTAGCACTGATACCACCGTTTTCTGATGTTCATGCTTCTGCCTACGGCCTACGAGGACTACGTCAATCCGCTCGACAGTACTTGCAGAACCGGCCAACTCTGCAGGCTGAAAAGCTTGCATGTCATCAAAAAACTGCGCAACTTGGCGACAAGCCACTGTCATGAATCGAGGCGGCTCGTAGACTTTCCTCCCTCGCATCAGGTTTTCGACCTTGCCGAAGACACAGGAAGTACCATCAGCTTGGGCAGCCTTTCTAGGCGCGGGGCAGACTGCTCCTTGACTTTGATGTCAAGCAGGCAGAGTGTGTGAAGCCCCGCTTTTTTGTTCTTCAAAATCTTGTCCTCGGCTCCCGTTGACAGACCCTGACCGAGCGATTCCTTCGAAAAGAAAAGCTTGTCGAGAAGAGTTTGCCGAGTACAGACCTGGTGTCGTACCAGCTGTCAGGCCGCCAGCCATCCTGCCAGAACGGGATCGACACCGTCTCGCCGAAACGATACAGCTGCAGCCCACAGGAAGCCACTGCGTTCATCACCTGGGTCATTGCAAGAGCTCAAGCATCATCACATTGTCACGAAGACCCGAAGCATAGTAAGACAACTTCGCCACTTGGGTGCTGACAGAGGCGTTGTGGATTACCCGCACAGGAATCTCCCGCTGCCTGGCAAGCGCACTGCGCCCAGAGGGGTCTCAAACCCTCGCCTCAGTCACCTGCAATCCTGCCATCCCTGGGCCTTGCTCTCAGCCACAGGTCGGTGTGAGTTGTTGCACAAAGCGGGTCTCCCACCACCAGAAAGCACCTCAGCGGCAGAACAACTTCGGCCTTTTTGCAGCCTCGTTCATTGGCCCATCTGCACTTCGAGGCACACTTCTTGATCCTGCACAGGGGCATGACTCTAGGACCCCCAAGAAAGCTCGAAGACCTGGATCCCCCGTCGCCCGTCCCACTAGCAGCTGCGAGCTCCCAGCACTACGCCGGAAGCTTCCAGATCCCGTGCAAGACGCCAGCCTTTGCTCTTTCCAGCATCTCCTCACAGCCGCTCTCCACCAGCTCGCGATCGGCCTCCAGAATCTCCGGTACTCCATACCTGGCTTTCAAAGGCGGGACCTTCGTGGAATTCTGGACGCAGGGTCGGTGAGTGAATTTACAGTTACAGTTTCAGCGGGTGACACTTGCACTGAGACGCCTTTGATGCTTCAGGGCTCGTGCTGAACCGCCAACCGTAGAAGGGGCCCTTTGAATGTCGTAAACCTTTTCTTGGGTCTGGCCGCGCAGCTGCCAGCGTCTCTCTGTCCAGCCCTGGCAGGATGGACGTGTACCTTGGGCGGCGTAGGGCTTCAATTTAGAGGCTTTTGAATTGCCCCGTCTTGAAATGCTGGAAATCTTGGTCAGATCCAGTCTACATCTTCTCTTTGAGCTCTTGCCGAGGTCAGCAGGGACTTCCCTTTCAAAAAGGACTTTTGAATCTCGGGAGTTTTCGAGACCAGGCCACGCTTCCAGGTAGATGTAAGCACTCCTCAGGGCCCAGACTGGCTCAGAGTCGAGCAGATCAGATAGGATCAATCTTTCCATAGTGGCGCAGCGGGGGGCCATGTGAGAATGGGAGGATCTGTGGCGCATGCCTTGCTGCTTCACTCCTGTCATGACTGTTACAGACCCGGTTAAGACTACTCGTGTACTGGGAGCACCAACAAATTCACTGGATTCTGATGCCCAGGCTCTGTTGCACCGCCTTTAATCCTTTCACGGAGATGTCCCCGTCGTCGCCCAAGCCCAGGCCAATCATCCACAGCACCATGGCGCTAAAGGGACAAACGTTCCAGAAGGCTTCGGGCTTTCTGCGTGTGTGAGCTCTATGTCTGGCACTCGCAGGCGGGAGAATCCATCGAACTTTGCTAGCAATGTGATCTTCCAAGACCGGTGAGGGCAAGATTCGGTGCTCGGTCTGGGGCTAGTGAATGCACGAGTGAACTCAGGTACCGAGCTGCACAACTTCAGCTTCAATGGTCCTTGCTGCCATGTCTGCCTTTGCTCTAAGGGCACGGCTCGCCGTCGCTAGCCAGCTGGCCTGAGGAGATCGCGGGAAGGTCTGCCCACCCGTGCATGAACGCCGTCTCTCTCGAACTGCATCCGATTGAATTTTGTCTTTGGACTCCGATGCTGTCTCCACTGTCTGCGACTGCTTCCCTGAAGCCTTTCGAAAGGTCACTTTTAAACTTCCATGTCCGTCCACTATCCACGCACAAGTCCAACGGCCTGGCCCAAAGAATCCGTCCTCCTGCCTCTCTAGCGAGCAACTGGGAGCCAGGCAAAACTCGCTCCAGGTGCAGTAGTGATAGGACAGCCTGCGGATGCAGAAGATGGCAAGTACCGTAACAGAAAACGCGCTTTGGTTGACATCTTGGGAACCCGGTATATCATGCCCAAGATGCTCTAGGGCAAGCCCCGATTCAGTCCGCCCTCGACCAGACAGGCAGTTCGCTAGCCTTCGATCTGCGCCGGTACACCACTGACAGATGCTGCCGGGGGGCTCCGCATCGAACTCGACATCGTCGCAATCCACCCTGGGACAGCGATTCGCCGAAGCCGACCATCGCAGTCCGCTGCACGTACCCAAGCAACAATTGAGTCAACCGGGCACCCGGCAACAGTGCCTGCCCGTGAATGACCACTCCAGCCACATGTCGCAACACCACTCTGCCAAGGACCCGATCCTGACAGCAGATGGGATGCGATGCAGGCAAGGACAGGCTCAAATGATGCCATCGGCGACTTGTGATGAAAGAAAGCAGTTACACTTCGCATAGCCTGCAGATGTTCGTTGCTGAGGAGCGTACAAACTCGAAGCCGTAACCGTTGGGCAGCGAAGCGCTGCGTAGCATCAGCAGGCTGATCTGCGAAGTCTGGGAAGTGAGACCTGCTCACCAGAACTTCCCTAGCTTTGCCCATCTCAGCAGAAGGCAACAGAGTGCATCCCGATTGAAGCCCTCGACTCGCCAAGAGGACTGAGAAACCATGCCAAAGGTCGCCTTTGTGTGAACTGCCACCAGCATCTATCCACTCCTGGAAAGCAATGAGGCTAGTCGCTCTCCTACGCCACATTGCATGCAAAGCGATTGCAGAGAGAACTGAGCTACAACGACTCAAATCAGCTCAAATCCAAAGGAATCAAACGTCGCTGCGACATCTAGAGATGTTGTCCGAGGAATCGGCGGCCAACGTGGCACACTTGTGCTCTTTCCTGTGACGCACGGGTGACGAGAAGTTGGCAAGTTCGGAAACACAGCTGTGCAAAAACACTTGTCTCGGTAGCAAGACGGCTTGACAAGACGGACCAGAAAGAGGCTCCCAGCAGCATGCTAGATTACATACGAGGGGAGCCTTTCAAAAGGACCGGGACCCATCTCCGAAGAGTCCAAACTTGCGTTTGCGATGGCCCACACCCTTGCTGCTCCTTACCCTGTGCATCTCTGTGCCTTTCTCCTTCACAAGACAAGCACACCCTCAAGAAGTCATAGACTGAGATGACATGATGTGAAACAATCCGGGTTTTCTCAAACTGGCGGTGACGGTGACGGTGACGGTGACGGTGGCGGCGTCGTCGTCGACGGCTTGCCAGTCGTTGGCTTGTGGTTCAGGGGTCTGGCTCATGCCAATGCAGAAAGAATCGCCGTTTTTGTCGTTACTGCTGCTGCTTTCGTCATTGTTGTCGTTGCTACATGTGGACATCGTATGAAACTGCATGACTCGAAACCTTGCGGGCAAAGTTTTCGCAGTGCTCCTGGATCTGGAGCTGTTGGAGATGAGAGCGGCCGTCTCCTGCGAATGGCGGACGGCAACCCCTCCTTCTGAAAGCAAAGGAACCCTGCATACTCCCGAAACTTGAGAAGAGCCCACGAAAGCTAGTGCCAAACAAGGAACCAGTCGACAGAGCTCGGGCAGCGTGCATGCGAGCACATGTGTGGTGCCATGAAATTTAAGCCTGCGAGATGATACCATTATTCTGCTTTACACTGGCCCACATAAAAATACACCCTTGTCGCATCGTAGTGCCTTGACCGACCTCATTGCGCGTCGGAGTGTCCCTGCGTAAGCAATAACTCGGCCATCTACGAGAAACATCGATCTGTCCTGGTGGCAGCTTAGCTAATGACTGAGGGGTCGGACATGAAACCTGCTACGTACGTAAGCACAAAACCCAAGTTGCAATGTTGCTCAAACAGATGGACCATGATGGACCTTGAGGTGTGGGGGCCACAGTGGGGGGGTGGCCCCCGCTTCACAAAAAAGTTTCCAGTATCTTGTGGTCGGGGGGCGGTCCCCTCGTTATTGGCTCTATATGCACAATGCACCGAAGGTGAATGATGCAAGATCGCGATCCTCACTATTTTCTTTCCGGCTTGTTGAGTCTCGGAGTGAGAAGGGCGGTTGTGTACGTCGGGTAAAATCTAGGACGGCCACGGAGTCGGTGTCGCACTATGCAATCATCCCAAAGGTACTATCCGCCCAACGTAATAAAGCCTCGGACATCAGAAGGAGAGGCAAATGCTGGAACTGATGCCACGGCAAACAGACAGACTCGGACACAGCCCAGTCCTGCGCGCATGTCCATGCATCTTGACAGCCAAGACGGCTGAGCCCGTCTGAGACGTTGGACTCGCTGTGCACCCACTCAATCCAGACGTGAGCTCCCAGAGACGCCCAAAGCAGATGAGTTGCTGACACGAGCAATGCCATGTAATCAACAGAGCTAGCCCCTCGGACTAAACTAGAACAGACCGCCTGCTTATCGATAGACCACAAAATTCCGCTCCAGCAAGCTGCCTTCGGCTTTGAAGGGATGCGAGCACAACAGCCAACGCATCCAGCGGTGCAGTCTGAATGTCCCTTGACTGGAACGCAGCAAGCACCTCATTCGATTCGGTACCCAAACAAAGAAGCCCACAGGCCTCTGCCCTGGCACAAACAGCACTGTCCCCAGGCCCGGCGACGTCATGTTTGCTTGTAAGATACAATTGGAGGAGTTGGAGGCCATGGACGAACCGAGAGGGCACCACCTTAACCAAGGCTTGAATGTACTGCAATGCTGAAATCAGTGGCGGAGTCAGCTCCGAATGTCCCACATCATACGGACGGTCGGATACTGCTCCTTGGCCCCCTTGGCCACAGCGGCCAAGCATCGCCGAGGAAGCCCACGGCTTCGCTGGGCGAGCACCTCCCCGCATCAAGCATGCGCTGCACGTCAGCAAAACTCGTCTCTGGAAGACCCGGCTTAATATCCACAAGCATCGTAAGTGCGGGACATGTTCAGGAAAACTCCTAAGAACACTCGCTGAGATGCCATGGGCTGCTGCTTCGGGGGATCCAGGTGTGCCCCGATGCACTTGTACACAACATTGACACACTCCCGCACCAAGCCATACGATGATGTGAGATGAAGAGTTCCTGAATCATCAAGGAATAGCATAACACATGAGGCAATGATGCGCCTTAAGCACGCTGTGCCATAAACGCGGGATCCGGTTAAAACTTAAGAACCGATTAGGGGGGGGGGTCCTGGCAGGGCGACCCCCAGCAACCAGCACCGCAGTATAGCCGCCTTGTTGCGTGAGTTTCCGTATGATGGCAAGTCAACCTCACTAGCATCGTTTTGGAAGAAAACTTTGCCGAAACACATGCTGACTGCTGCCGTCAACACCGGGCCTGATTCCACCACCAATACCGAAAGGACCGCTCCCACACACATGACGGCAACTAAAAAAGCACCAATCCCATCAAAGAGAGAAATCACAAGGATGGGGTCGTTCCATGGTAACTTCCATGGGATCTGTGGCAGTGGGGAATCGCCAATGTACACAACATACTTCAAGCCCATGTCTCTCAGCCAAAGCCTAAATGCCCATCTGGGCAAGCCTCGCTTCTTAGGTCTTGCAGCACTCGCCACTCGAAGCTGTGGCGGCCCCGGCCCAGGCAAAGAAGACCTCCCGGCTCACAAGCTTTGATTGGCGACACGCATGCCTGAATGATCAGTCCTGCTTGGGGCCGCTGCAATCTCAGTCTGGGAGGTCCAAAACAGAGACAAGCCAAGTCCGCGTCCGTAATCACGAAAGCTGCTGGCGCTACTTCGAGTGCATCGGCATCCAATGCTGCCAGCACGGCCGCGCACAACTCATGGCTCGGCATACGAAGAGCCACCCTAAGAAAAATGGGTGCTTCAACTATTGTGAACGGACCGGATAAGGTCCTGCACGCAATTTCGACCTAGTTCTCTACTGCCTAAGTGAATGGTAAACGACAGCTCCCGCAAGCTCCACAGAGCTATCTTTCGCGATATGCAAATCTCCACGATCAATCGGTCTGCCGAATCTGGTGCAACAGGGGATTACGTTTTGTGGCTATTCCCAAGAAGCAATCCACTCATAGCCTGAGAATGCATGCTTCCAAAGTCGGGTTCAGCAGACATGGAGCTAGCAATTGTTTGGGCAATAAAGCAACCACCGACTACTTGTCACTGAGAACTGAAAATCTGCATTTGTCGAATCCCACACTACTGTGTCCTGTGGCAAGGCACGATCGCCTCGCGGAAGCGGTGGTGCACGAGCGCCTCGCCTTGCTCAATGAAACGGACAAGCAAAAAAAGATGTCATGCTAGGGACGCTTTTCTGCGTCTGCAGAGACAATGGCCAAGCACGTGCTGGGGACACTCTCTCTTCCGAGAATTGCCAGATAACATGTACTACATATTCTTTCGATGCCAACCAGAGTCCTTATGACGCAGCACTGCTGTGTATTTGTCGGGCATGGCTAATCCGAGCCTTCAAAGGAGGTGCATATTCACGGATCAGATCCTTCGTAAATCGAACATGTCCAACGATTATGGCTTCGCCTCGTGCGTTGCAGACTTATGGGGTGCGACTCTTGATTCTCATGGCTATGGAATATTCGTCGATAGAGAGAGTCACCATCTCAGGTCGGGGTGACACCGTACAACCTACGGAGCGGATATGATCGGATATCTTGGCAATTCTTGGCATCTACGAGGTGGAGGCGACACCTCGACTTTTTAAGCCAATCCCTCAGCAGGAGGCAGGAGAGTCCATCGTAGTAACTACTGGTAACATTTGTAGATGGACCGGGGTATCACCACTGATGGCATGGGGTTGCACCAACAAAAGTGGGAGTGCTACCTGAGAACGGATGCGACCGTTATTCTGACTCTTCATCAACTGGAAGCACCACCTCGCAGTTTTTATGCTGGGTGCCGCTGATTCTGTGTGTTGCACAGTGGCTTTGAGAGAGCCGCACAGAAGGCTTTCCAGGATGCAGGATTGGCAAAGAGCAACACATGTGCTCGATACGGCGGCATGTCTCCAAAGATGCTACGGGCGGCATTTTCTACAGCGGCATGTCCGAGATTCCGCTCTGGGTTGTTTGTCAAGGCTGGCATGTCGGAGTCACGTGTCCCGGAACCAACAGTGACAGCAACCCCAAACGTGAAATCTCAAGCCCTGAGCCTTCAGTCTTGGCCTAAATCCTATACTTGCTCTGGCAGTCTAGCAAATGCCGAACACCTCCGGCCGTAAACCTTCAACCTTAAGCCCTGAAGCCCCAAACCCAGGACGCCATTGGCTCGCGCCGAGATGCACACCCCCACGCACGCGCACAGCGAGACCGAAACGACCGGCGCGTCCCGATCCGTCCCGAGCTGGGCCTTGGCTCCTCTCCCGAAGTGCCGCGAGGGCTGGGCATGACTCCTGCAAGAGGGAAACTGAGCTATGCTGTTGCAGATTCGGGCATCTCTGCTCGGCTGTACAGCAACTTGTCATGATACAGATAAAGACGTGAGTCGTACTGCTTGAGGGCCGCACTCCCTGCACGTGACTTCCGGCGCCAACATCAGACCGAGACAAGCGAGAAGCTTGCCGTTGTCCCCAAGACATTCACGCGAGACTCTTCCAGGGAGCTCTGCCATAACGGACACCTGAAGATAATGCTATGCCCTCACGTTTCACTCAAGTCAAGGTTTGGCAGAACGCTTTGTTCGAGGCTTAAGTTCAAGGCTGCGAAGGTTGGTCGCATCGTTGCTTCTACGATGCAGTTGCGTCACTCTGCATTCAAGGCATGACCACTCTGTGGACTGCCTGCTATGGACATGAGCCGACAGGAAGGGCCAGAAATGAAGTTCGCCAGCTTTAAAGATGTGTGACGCGGGACACCGATCTCAACCTGACACGCTGCAAAACGAGAAGCCGGTGCCTCTGTTGTGCTTCGCTAACGGTGGGTCGCCTACTACGAGATGCCAGACATGACAAGACCAGACTGCTAAGTGATGCTAGTGACTGAAGACTAAAGACTAATGACCCCAAACCTGACTCAAATCCTAATCATGTGAAACGCATTCCTACGGCTGCATCATCCTACTGCAGTGTCTTGTCCATGCCACTCTGCGTGAAACGCTCACTGCATCGGCAAGAGCAGATCAACCTGCAACTTGGAAAAGTTATGTTGACAACAGCTTCCCTCGCGTACAGACTTTGCGTGTTAAACGGCTAAGCTCCAAGAAGCCGAAATAAACGAAGCAAAGAAGCCTGATCCCGGAACAAAGTGCATGGTCGTTAAATGCAGGATGAATCCTAGCATGCTCGAAACAAGTGTGCGACCCTCTCATTGCCAAGGCTTGTCTCTTCCGAAGCAGACCCAACCAGAACCTTGGAAGTCTCCGCAGTCGCCTTCCCCGTGCCGCCGCCCTCGCTCGGCTTCTCCACGGTTGGAGGTCTCCTAGCACGGCAGACGTGATGAATTCAAGTTCGGTCAGCCACGCGAGACGCTGCTGCGATGCTGTGGCATTTTTGCTCTGGTCTCTCGTGTCTTCGAACAACGTTTGCGAGCGCAGCATCAGGCCGGTACTGCAAGTTGTGTGGGGGGCAGAAACCTGGCGAGCCCCTTCCTGCCGTGTCATGGTCAACAGATTGCTATCCTCGGGATGCTGAGATCATAACTCCGCCCTTTGCTTTGCTTTGTACTTGCTGGGAAACCGAAGCCTCACCCACCGCCCTGCACTTGCGAAATGGCACAGCGACGCCAGGTTCCAGCTTAGTAGACTTGCAGACTTAAGCGCTCTCACGACTGCCGATGGCATTCATAGCTTCTGCAGCTTTGCCATTCCAACTTTGGGCCTGTGCTGGCAATCATGCACTTCTGATGGGCCTCGAGGGGGAATCTCAGAATCCAGTGACACCTGCACCACAGCGCTGCCCAAGTGAAAGCGTGACATGGGAGCAGTAAAGATTTGTTACATTCTGTTATATTATATTATATCATATTATACCATAGTATATTATATCATATTATCATATTTTATTATATTATGTTGCTGGTACACTGCCAGCTCTTCTTTTTGCAGGCGAGCCAAGGCTGAGGCGATCTTCCCTCGGGCAGCTTCACCTTCACAGAGGGCCCCGACTGAGCCGAGGCCGCGCAGTTCATGACAAGTGTGCCGCACATGATTGCGGCAGTGATCCTGGGATATTAATTCTCCTGTTCCTCCGAACTTCTGATAACTTGTGCAATATGCCAGCTTCCGCCTGTCCGTTCCAACTGGCGAAGTTGCTACCTCGAAAACTTACTCGGCAGGGCTATGGCTTGCAAAGTGTCTGCTCAGGTGCCTGCCAAGTGCTGCAACGCTATGGCATAATCACTTCCAACAGGCAACGCCATTCGTGACTTTCGTTCTGATGGCCAAACGCAGACCGGCTAAGCTGCTTGCGGCACTGCCGCAAGGCGCGGAGTAGGGCGGCACCAGGCTCTCGATCTGTTGGAAAGGTTTGGAGTTCATTCACGACATGCAGCTTACAGATAAGTCGCAGACTGACTGGGTTTGAAGTGATAAACACATAGCATGCTCTCACTATAAGATCACTGACACAGACCTGCAAGAATCATCTGAAGTGAGTTGGTCTCGGCTCCTCTCCACTGCAACTGCAATAGCGCCTCTCGAGCTTGCCGAAACCAACCTTCGCGGGGAGTGCCGCACCTGAGAGGCTCACGGGGCTTGGAGTTCCCGTGCGAAGGGCGTGCGAGCTTGCAAGAGTCGAAGCGTAAAAGCGGTCCTGCCTTGGGCGACCGAGAGCGCCGAGACCATCTCTGCCAAACCTGCACTTCGACAATGAGCATCAGCCGAGTTTACACCAATCCACATCCAAACACGACAGATGGCACAGCAAGAAAACTTCAGACACTTGATGTAACGCGATTCTTTTCCCGTGAACCTGCTCGTCAGCTCGGAAGCTGTCTGCGTTCCTGTCGAAATGCGGCAGCCACGACCAAATTCTTCACAACCCTGAACCCTCCCACGACCACTCGCGGCATCTCGAAGCCACGCAAGCTGCATCACAGGCATGCTATCATGCGATCGCAGAAGCAAGGAGCCTCATGGGTGAATCTTGACTGCGACCTTGGAAATCTGCCCCTCGTTCTCCAGTCTTGAGCGCTGATTCTCAGGCGCCGGCTTCGCGCCACTGGATTCGCTTGTGCCCGCCTGACCAACGCAGACAATGCTTCAAAGCGGGCAATGTTGCAAGTGTATCACACGCACCACGTCACTGGCGAACCTGAGAGGAAGTGCATCTTTCTCGTCGTAAGACTCACCTGCAGCAGGGCAATTACGGCAACTACTGCATTTTCTCCTTCTCGACTTTAGCCACTTTAGCCTGGGCCTCTTCTAAGCTTTCTGACAGACGTCTTTGGAAACTTCCAAACGGCAAGGAGTCCCGCTCAGCCGCGGACTGTACTCGTAGGAACTGCTGCCTGGGTGTAACCGCAGACAGTACAACTAAAGCCCGGAGCAATGAAGAGACGCAAACGATTGGAAGCCCCAGGCGATGGTCCTCGCGACATCTTTCTCTGGGGATGGACCTTGTCGCGGCATTCGCTGCTCTGCGACATGGCAGCCATAGCCCATAGCATGCATAAATCAACGTAAATCGTGGCCCGAACTTCGCTGCCGCTCCCCGCAGCGGACCTACAATTGAGCAACAAACACGCACTTGTAGAGACGGCCTTCGTCCCGCAATGCAATGGCGCAACCGACAAGCAGTGACTTGGGGCTCGGCCGGCCGGCAGGGCCGCAGCGCCCGGTGCAGCTCTGAGAAGGTCTCCACCAAAGCCTTTCTTGGAGACTCGAGGTTCCCGATGCAGGGGATCTGGGTCGTCTGCACCGTGTCGGAAATGGCCGTTCGATGCCGTGCCGGCATGGTCAAGGGCCAGGTCCTCGTGAGAAGTACCGGCCCGGATTCTTGAAGCAAACTGCAGAATCAATTCAGAATCAACTCCCGCCTTGGGATGCAGGTGCGTGCCGTTCGGTTCGAGGGGCGGCCGCAAGAGCTGCCTAGTCTTCGCTCTTGAAGCAAAGATTCACCCCACACCCACGACGATGTAATGTAAATCTTCCATAATAGCCGTGATCAACATTATCGATCTGAGTGCACCGCTGTGGTGGGCCCACGGGGTGCAGCAGGGCCACCCCAGGCGGTGGTGCTGGTGGCTCCCTGCATGGGCATCGTTGTGCGAGGAAGCTCCGGGCGTTTCTCGGCCTGCCTCGTCGGCTCCTCCACTGCAGGGGCCTGCCAGCTGTCGCTCTTGGTGCCTGACAATACAAGCTGGTATGCAGGTGTAGCTCTAGGCACGCTGAAAGCCTGGGCACAAATACAGGAAGACTCTGCGCGACAGCTGGCACACTTCAACAATTCCAAGGGCTCAGCGGCTCAAAGTTACCTCCGGACATAGCTGACCTGTACAAGGCGCGCATGTGCAGACCCCAGCATGCACAAAACGTGATCCACATGGTGGCTTTTCCTTTCGTGAGTCGCCAAGCTCACGGTCTCTGGGCACCGCTGTGCGAGCTTCGGAAGTCTATCATGACATTCTTGCACAGGCTGTAACTCTTTCTCGGAAGGCTTCTGAGGCATCGACCAGGAGGCCTGCGCAGGAGTTGACGTGAAAGAACTGTAGTTTTGGGACGTACAGACGAGCAGGCCGTGCTCTCATCCCACATGCTTCACAACCAACAATGATCAAATGAAGCTATGAGTCCGAAGCGGGTCCTGGGTAGTGACACCTGACTGTTTTGAGTCCTGCGTCGCTTATTCCGGTGGCCATCTTCACGTCTGCAGCAGATCTGCCGCGCCGGACTAACAAAAGAATTGACTTCTTCAAGGACGCGAGACGTCGTTGCTGGAGGGAGTTTGCAACAGTTGCAACCAAAGATCCACTAATGCAGCGTATTTCAGGGTGACTGTCGAGCTGCGCCGCTCGTTCCTCAATCAGTTTGCAGCCAGTCTGACACAATGTCGGCAATTTTTGCTAACAAAGGCCATGGCCTGCCGGCAAACAGAAGGATGTGAAGCTATGCAACTCCTTCTTGAGACACGGTGACTTCTGCCTTTTCTGCAGACCTGCGGACATAGGCTTTCTTACATAGCTGAAGCTACATAACCCCACATCCCCTTTTGTTCAGGCACTTCGCGCTCCGACTGCTATTCCGGGGCCGACGCCAGCAACCGGACAAGTGGCCGAGGCCCTAACGAAGCGCAAACGGTGTCATTCGTGGGTGGTCTGGTCTGTGAAACCTCATCACCATCTCCAGTGGGCCTGTTGGGACAGAAAACGACTGATCTCCTCATCTACCCTGCATGGACCTGCACATGATCTCCCCAAATGTCAGCTGACTCTGCTCCTTGAGATGCTGGTCGCGGTCACTGCAGCAAGCTGGAGATCAAGGCCTTCACCTGTGCAGACAAGCCAAGATGACTCTCAGCCCCGAAGTCCCGAGGCTTCAATAAGCGCAAGCTCCGTCTCCTTAGACCAGCTGCCCAGTCTTTAGCATTGACAAATTTGCAGCTCTGTGTTTCGAAAACTACGTCTCCGGTTTGTAGCACTGTATTCGACAGTATACCTTGAAGTCTTCCCATTTTGTGCACTAGCAGCTACTGGAAGGGATCTTCAAACGCTGGGAGCTAGGAAGATGATGTAGAGATTTGACAGCACAACGCAAGAGACCGAGAAAATACTTGAAAGCTTTGAGCAGCAACGAAACGCAATCCCCGAACTGCTAGGCTCCGCCAGGTGTAATGCCTACCTACACATAAAGCTTGGTAACGACACACGAGATACATCTTATTACAAGCACGCACAAACGTGAGACTCTGCCTCCTCGATGTCCACATGCATCGAAAGGACAGCCTTGTCCTCTGTCATGGGGTCCTTCGCGACTTTTCCGCACGAGGTAACACTGGACTGATTTGGGTCTAGGTTGATCCACTGACCCCAGCATCTTGTCTCATCCTTGCTTCTGCACTCAACACGCTGAACTTTAAGACACTAGCCGGTGCGTTGCAGATTCATCTCTCAAGACGGTCCGCCGCTAGCTGGTGGTCATACTCGTTCGGCATGACCTGACGAGACACAGGTCTTTAGCACCTGAGCTAGATAAGCCTTTCTCGATTCTCTCAGGAGAAAGATCCTACAGCATCCGCTATCCGTAACCAACAACAGTTTGCACAGGACCTGACTGCTCGCACTCCCTGCAACGCGCCTTGTCACCGACGGGAAGGTACGTGAAATTCAAGGCTGCAGCAAGGTCCCAGAAGTGGTAGTCTTGCATCTTGAAAGGAACCTCGTGCAGTGGAGCTTATTATGGTAGATCCTAGGTACAGGTTGAAGCCATGCCCCAGCCACGTGCCTGAGGCACGATCTCCACGACCTTCATGCCATCCGGTGCGAAGATCATGTTGGCCATGTTGGCACCATGCGCGCCCAACAAGATCTGGCAAGGAAACGAAGGTTCTCCGTCGGCTTCACAAGGCAGCATTGGCAGCATGACGCGAGTTATACGCTGTTATTCCACCAGCCTCCGCTCTCGACAGTGCTTGCAGCGTATGCAAGAAGTTCTTCGGATCGGGAGTCACAACCTGCGCCCATGATCATGCATGGACCATGCATGGACCTCGATGCACGCTTCAGCACAATGTTCGGGAACACCTCGACAGGTCTCCCCAAGGTCTTCAAAGCCTGCGGCCAGGGCAAGGAAGCTTCGTAACATCCCATTGCGCCAATTGCCGCTGGCCCACCTGGACCATTTCATCCTCGTTGCCAAGAGCTCTAGAGCTGTGCCCACGAGAAAGGACCTCAGCTTCATTGGTTCATCTCCCAACGGCACAGTGTCTCCTGAATGCCTGAGACTTTGGCGACTATGTGACCTCGATTCTTCAGTCTGCACGGCCTCCACAGGTTGCCAATGCGCTACACCCGAAGTTCCGCGGACAGCCTGTTAGAAGGCACTGTAGACGCTGCTAGCTTATAGACCTACTTTGCAACTCGCGGCATCAACAGCTGCGGCACGAGGCCGACCCTCACATCCTGCAGTCAAGGCGGCGCGCGCTCAGTAACTAGATAGATGCAACCGCCCCGGGTATGTGAAGGCCAACGAGTAGGCCTCGACAGGTCCTGCGACAAAGGCCTTAGCCTCCTTATCAAAAGCTGTCGGCGCATGAGAGAGCCCGACACTTAAAATTTCAGGGAGCCCTCTGTAGATCTGCAAATATCTCTAGTGAAAGCTCTGTGAACCGGGCCTGTTGGATTCATCCATCCAGTCGTCCATGGCTAAAAGGTTTCTCCGAAACTCGGCCAAGTACGGCACCTTGATTGACCATCTTGACAGTTGCGATTTGATTGCATGGGGTATGCTGCAACACTTCTGCAGCTTCAGTATATACGTCGACAGACACACAAGCAGTCGCAGCGCGAATCACGCATGTTCTTGGTGATGGCGCCTGTACACGCCGATGCGCTTTACGGTTTACGTATTTCAGGGTTTCAGGGGTTGTCGGGTGGGTGGGGTGGGTGGGGGCGGGGGGCTAATAACGGCATCTTTGACTCAAACAGGGCGTGAGCAAAATGAAGACCTGTGGCACTTCAGCTCTTGTCCCAAGCTTCAATCCTTGACCCTACCTTAGTACGGCAAGTCTGGCAGCTCAGGACTACTTCCTCTAAACTCTATCTCACATAAAACTTTGTCTTTGCAGCCTCTTGAAAGTAAGCTCAAAACCATGCAAAAACGCAGTTTTGCACCGAGCTTAGTTCAGCCCCCTAGTGTTTCGCGCACCTGCCTGGACTCTTCCTGAAATTGCGCTCTCGCTGTGGTTTCGCACGAATCCATGTAGAACTCCTCATTCTGAAATGTGTAAAAACGCATAGGCGCGTACAGGCGCCGTGACCATGTTCTTCTGAGGCAGGTGCGGAGAATTCGAAGCGCGGGTATTGTGGCCTCGTCAGGGTCAGTGTGCTTTCTCTGGTTTCGTCTTCTGCATGTCCGGCCTGGTGGAGAGATCAAAATGGATTTCTGGCGCACAGAAGTGGAACGCCTGCATGGGCCCGTGGTGCCGCAGGATCAACCATGCGAAGCTTGGGTGTGATGTAAGCAAACACACCCGATACACGGCTACGAACCTGAAACCCTCTCTCGAACGCCTCTGTCAAGGAGGTTGGTCGGAGGATGTTGCCCTCCACACCGAGAACTGACCTCAAGCCCGTTGGAGTGACAACCCGCTGAACCGTTGCAGAGAACTCCTGAGAGCGCGGCAGAATTTGCCCAACGAAATTGTGGCCGGCGTGGATGAACAACTGGCCGAGCTCTCATCATTATGTTTGTACGCGAAGCGCAGCCGGTGTGATTGTGCATGAGTCCCATGCTCCTGTGCAAAACTTGACAGGGAGCAGAACGTAGTCAGTACACCGCCAGCAAGGACCAGTGGTGTACTGCTTGCTCCCTCGTCGCCAACATGGCAAACAACCCCGAGACGTCCGAAGTTGCAGGGCATGTTGGATTGTTCTTGGCTTTTTTCTTCCCGGCGAGCTGACTGGGTCGTTCTTCCGTTTGCAGGGTTCAGGGTCCCAGGCTGCATTCTCAGACAGAGTTCCCTGAGCGGTGGAAGCGGACCCAATGTCAGAAGCAAAACACGTTTGGTACTCAAAAACGCTCTGGATGGTTCACAAAGGCTTGTTTTAGAGATGTTTGAGGCCATTGACTCCATGCCGTGTTTCTGGGCCGATCGCCCCTAACAGGGGAACTTGCAGATGTGATTCTGAAAACATGATGGATACCGCCTCCATAGTGCCGTTCCGCAGCATGTCCAACCGTGGCGCAATGGATGGGAGTGCGCTAACCAACATGTGGTACACGCCGTACCTGCAGTCGCTGATCAATTTGGCTTGTTGGTTGGAGGATCCGGAAGAAGGGATGAGCCAGGGCTGCGCATGCCCTCCCACAAAACCGGCACCTGAGGTGCCTGAACTTTCTTGCAATGCTGGAATCATCCGGGTCCCGCACCACACATCGAAGGTCAGATGCAGCACGGGGAACTCCTGCAGCGACAGGACACTCTCACAGCAAGTAGAGCAACCGCACATCCCCCGTTGCAATGTGCTCGCCGATTCGACTACATCGCACATGGACAAGCTGTGACTGTGACAAGCATCTGTGCAGAAGCTCGGTCCCGCTTGGGAAGACCCACTTGTTGGGAGTGCTCACGGAGCCTCGTCAAATTGACCTGGTTGATTGCTTTGAAGTTTCGAGTATTCATTCCCGTGACGGAATCGCGGTGGCTTATCTGCCGCGCACCTGATCGTTGACGACCCGCGGGCAGAACTCCGGCGAGTCCGGGCAAAGCCTGAAGGATCGCAGCACTCCGAATTGAGAAACCTCAGCCTTAGCCCGAAGACCTCAATCTTTAAGCACCGTGCACGTACGTCCGATTGTCTTTTCGTCGGGCGTACAGGGCCCCATCCTGGCCGTGCTGAACTGCAATCGGTAAGCCTAGCGATGCTCGCATCAATGCATGCGGCATCTCAATGCCTGGAATTGATTCCTGTTTAGACACGCAGGGGCATCGTTAGCCGAGCCTTCTCTCCAGGACCCAAGAAG